CTTCTGGAAAGCTTTTGCCTTCCTTTACTGTCATAAATACTGTTCGACAAGGATGCCCTATCTCCCTACTCCTCTTAAATGTTGCCACTAAGGGTGTCTTTAGAAATGCTTCGGAAGATTCTTTGAACACACTCGTTGAGCTCCTACCATTTTGTCTACTTCATGATTTCGTCTTCGTCTTGTTTGATAACGGTCCACAGGTCGTCCAAAGTGCACCTAACCGCTTTGCGATTTAAGCGTAAATGGATGGAGTGCGCGTTTTCGAGACTGGCAGATGACTGTACCTGTACTCACTCTTGGTAGTGAGACCCTGGAGGTTGTGGTGATTCTCATCTACCTAGCAAGTTGCATCACAGCAGAAGGAAATGTTGGAAACAAAACTCCTTTGAGTTAGTTAAGAGCTCGCCTTGCTTTCTCTAGGCTGACACAGTTGTGGCGCCGCCAAGCTAGTTATCAATCTACCAAAGAGCGGGTTTCTTGTGCTACTGTCCGCACTCCACTGTTGTACGATTGAGAGGCTCGACCTGTTCGATCCGTTAATCTGCGCCGGCTGTCTGTATTTGAGCACCGTTTCTTGCGGTCCACTGCCTGTGCGTTTTGGCTGCACCACGTGACCAATTTGGAAGTTAGACAAGGTATCTTGGATGGCAGCAGCCAGTCGCTCAAGGAGCTTGTCCCGCTGCGTCACCTGCGGTGGCTGAGAAACGTATTGCGCACGCCCGTTCATCGACTTCTGCTTCGGGGGTTGTGTGGTTGCTGGACAGGGCTGGAAAAGGCGGCGCAGTGGACATCCTACAACTTGGAGAAGCGACCTGGAAAAGCTGATGATGCAATTGGCATCCGTCGGTTGCCATCGCAATGAGGCTGGACCTTACCGTGGTGCGATGGTTTGCGTGCCTCAGAGATCCATTGAGCTATGCTGGGTGGTGCATTTTTTGCACCTTTAGAGCCACTCATACCAGATTGGTCAATGGTTAGAGGCCAGACAAACTAAGCCTCCTGGTCCTCTAGGTTGGGGGTTGGAATGGGGGTGGCTCCTCATTTCATAAAACGGGCTCTGTAGTCCAGTGCCAAAACCCGCTGCCTTGCGGTAAGGTTTTTGAACCAAAGGCTTTGGTTGAGAACCCAAATCGTTCTCCTGTCTAGGCCTGGGCAACCTGACAGTATTCTGCCCACGCAATACAATGAACCTTTCCTACAACAATTTCTTGGTGCTCTGGCCGTCGCAGAGGATAATAAACGGCGCCCTATCTGCTGCACCGAGCAGGGTGGATAGAGGTTGGGATGCTACTGCTCAGGCCTTCTCGTCTTCTTATACCCCTTCTTGTGCTTCTGCATCCTTATTGTCCTGATCCAACTTTACTTATATCCCCCCATTTTCAATCCCCCAATTCTTGGCCCTCCCCCAGCTTATTTCAATAGTCGCTTGTCTTCTAATTTCAAATCACACACAATCGCAATGCCTCGCTCCAATCCAGTCGACAAGTCCATGTTCAACCAAGCGGACGTCAGTTCATCCGTTTCCCTTTGGAGTCCTCGTGTCTCGCTAAGATTGGCATGCCTCAACGTGCGCACTTTGCTGCAGGTTGGCCAACAGGCAGCACTTGCCCGCACACTAGAGACCCTATCGATCGATATTTGCTGTTTATCAGAAACCCGCCTGCAAGGTTCGAGCTCCGTGCTTACCCTGAGATCCCCCACATGCGACACTGGAGACACATTCTCATTGCGCCTATCTGGCGATGATGCAGCTTCAAATGCCGGTCAAGCTGGCGTCGGCATTGTTTTGTGTCCCCGGGCTGAAGCTGCCCTGCTTGATTGGATCCCAGTAAACAGTTGAATGTGCGCCGTTAGATTAGCTGGTTCGTTCCGTGCTTCGAAGTCGCGCGGGGACAAACGGTGCCTGTTTGTCATTGCGGCTTACGCCCCTGCAAACTGTAGCACTGATTCGGTAAAAGATGATTTCTATCAGCAACTTCACGAGCTCCTTCGTTACAGAAGAAGCACGGATACTGTGGTGCTGGCTGGCGATCTAAACGCCCAAGTCGGAAAATTGTCCTCTGATGAGCTTCATCTGGGCGGCCAACATGGTGTAGGCTCCCATAATGATAATGGTGAGCGATTGCCCCAGCTGTGTGAAGATGCTCGCCTCTTTCTCGCGAGCACTAACTTTCGACACAGCACCCGCAGAAGTGTGACTTGGCGGCCACCAGCCTCGGGCCAGTCATGGACGCAAATCGATCATATCGCTATCAGTTACCGCTGGAGAGGCTGTGTCCAAAACTGTCGCTCGATTTGGAGCACGAGCGTGGACTCTGACCACGCACTTGTCTGTGCCGACCTCCGGGTGCGTTTCGGTGGACGTCCGCGACGTCGATGTGAACGGATTGACACTAGCCAGCTGGCGAAGCCAGATGTTCTGAATGTGTACCAAGATGCGCTGACATCTAGGCTGAGTAAGCGCCCACTAAACACCGTTGAAGATCACTGGTCGCATACTCGTCAAGCGTTGCTATTAGCAGGCATGTCTTCATGTGGCAAAACAAATTGCAAAACCGAACATTGGGTCTCTACACAGTCTTTGGAACTTATGGATGCTCGCCGACGTATTCCGGCTGGAAGCGAATATAATGAAGCTCGCAAAAATCTCAGGGCGAAACTACGTGCTAGCCTAAAGAAGGACCGCGAAACCTGGTGGTCTCATCGTGCCTCTGAGATGGAAACAGCCGCTGCCATTGGTAATCATCGTAAGTTATTCCGTCTGATACGGGCAACAGGCAGCAGAAAACCTGGTGTTGGCGAGATCATACGCGACGAGAGTGGGCAGATGATTCACAGCCTGTCAAAACGCTTGGAGCGTTGGGCTGAACACTTTGCTATGCAATTTAACCAACCTGAGTTATCGCTTTCTTCGGGCATTGAGCGCCCTTCTCCTTGGGCCGTCTCCTTGGATCCGCCCTCACGCGCAGAAGTCGAACGTGAGATCAGGCTGTTGAAATTGCATAAGGCCGCAGGGGCGGATACAATTCCTCCAGCCCTCTTCAAGTTCGGTGGACCTGCTCTAGTAGATGATCTACACGAGTTGCTAGTAAAACTTTGGGAGCAGGAGACAGTCCCGACAGACTGGAACCGCTCCGTCATTGTCCCAATTTTCAAGGGAGGCTCTCGTTTAGAATGTGGCAATCATAGAGGGATCAGCCTGATTTCGATTGCCTCTAAATTGCTTGCCTCTGTCATTCTCCACAGACTGACTGGCACTCGTGAAAGCCAGATTCGTGAAGAGCAAGCCGAATTTCGTCGAGGTCGGGGCTGCATCGACCACATCTTCACATTGCGTCAAGTGTTGGAGCACCGCCATATTTATTGGCGACCCACCGTTGTCGTTTTTCTTGACATAAAAGGTGCCTTCGACTCAGTCGATCGATGTGCCCTTTGGAACTGTCTGTTGAGGAAAGGTGTGCCTGATAAATATGTAAACATTATCAAAGCGCTGTACGCACATAGTTCGGGCAGGGTGAGGGTTTATGGCAAACTGTCGCCACCCTTCAGTATCACCAGCGGTGTGAGACAAGGATGCCCGCTGTCACCTTTCCTCTTCAACTTCGCTATTGATGAAGTCATGGAAACAGCATTCGCTGGACACGACCTAGAAGGTGTGGAGCTACTTCCTGGTGAGCGACTTCTTGACTTGGAGTATGCAGACGATATTGCCCTAATCTGTGACAGCTCCCAAACATGCCAAACAGCACTGAACCGATTAGCACTGGCTGTCAATCGTTTTGGGCTATGCTTTGCTCCATCGAAATGCAAAGTACTTCTCCAAGATTGGCAGGGACCCAACCCTGCGCTAACGCTTGGTGGTGATCTGCTAGAAGTCGTTCAGGAATTTAAGTACCTGGGCAGCTATATTAGCACCCGTGGGATTGAAGATGAGGTTACGAACCGTATAGCAAAAGCTCGAGGTGCTTTTGCCAATCTCTGCCACCTGTGGCGCAGATGCGACATTACTCTCGCCCTGAAGGGCAGAGTTTACAACGCAGCCGTCCGTTCAGCTCTCCTATATGGCTGTGAAACCTGGCCCATCAGGTCGACAGACATGAAGAGGCTCGTCACATTCGATCATCGCTGCCTTCGCAGCTTAGCTCATGTCTGGTGGGAACACCGCGTGAGCAATGAGCATGTTCGGCGTCGCGTATTTGGTGCAGGAAGAGCGAGTGAACCGCTCAGCACGATTATATCACGCACCAGGCTCCGATGGCTGGGCCACGTGTTGCGCATGCCAGCACACCGACTCCCACGACGTGCATTGTTTGCGCGTTGTGGATGCGGTTGGAAGAGGAGGAGGGGAGGCCAAGTGATAACTTGGTCGAGAGAAATGAAAACCCTCACTTCGAAGTTGGCGTCGGTTGGTGCATCCCGACTGCCTGGCTGGGGTCCTAAAGACGGTGAACACGTTTGGTTGGACACACTTGCTGATATGACTAGGAGCCGGCCCCAATGGCGTTTGTGTTGTGAGTTCCTTTGTCCATCCCCCTCCTGTTTAGCACCCCCCTCCAATCACGATCTCAATCGTTAGGCATAATATAACTTTCTTTTACGGCAGCCAGCTGTTAGCTCTCCGGAACGATGTCCATCCGTTACTGGGGACTCAGCGGGCGTGCCACTGTTTGTTTGTTTGTTTTCTTTTCTTGCCTTTTGTATTGCGGCACAATAGCTGAGATGTTTTCCACCTCCAGCTAACGTGTAATGATGATGATGATGATCCGTCGGTTGTTCTCGACTCCCTAGTTGGGATATCATAGGTACAAGTGTCAGTGCCTCAAGACCGACGTCAGCGTCGGACATCTATCTCCGCGTGTTGCGGTGAGTTCCCTTCCCAAATAACGATAAATGCTCAAAAACTGGGTGAAAAACTGGCCAAAAAGGTCGCATGTTTTTATCTTATTCCTACGCCACAGCATCACAATGTAAGTGGAGTCCTTCCAGTGAATTGATTAATTTTCAAATGAGCCGAACGATGGCCGAGTCGTGCTTTCAGTGTGCCTCATAAGCATGTGCTTCATGGATCGCGTTGGTTCACCACAGAGGTCTCTGTCGCCTCTATGTGTCCCACATTGGATCTAACTTTTTAACTATGCAGGCTAAGCACATGGTGCTTTTGTCCATGGCGTTTGTGATATTGGGGTTCGTGATACTCATCATAGGCGGTATCATGTTGGCCACAGCCACAAACTATCCAACAAGCGAAGAGTGAGTTTACGTCATTTCTATCTTTTCCTGTTATGTGCGCGAACTTACACGGTTATGTCTCCTCACGTAAATTACTGCAGTTCATGCGCTTCGGCTATGACTGACAAGTTATTGATTTATTCCCCTCACCAGAACCCTCATAAGGTTACACAGATGTTTGTTAATTTCGATTGTCCAGATGGATCGACTATCTCTGTCAAGCCCAAACCATCTTTTCTGCTTACAATTGTTACTCATGTCCAGAATATGTAAATGCCGCCTGTCCGATGGTCGAAAGGATCCGGAGGTCACTGGTTCGAACCTGAGGAAGAAATCGGGCGACCGTCTCATTATCCTTAGCCCACGCACAACTGGTGGTGAATGCGTGGCAGCGAAGCTTCGGTGCTGGGTACCGACGTACTGCTAATACCTAAAGTAAAAAGTCAATGACACCGATTTATATATATATATATATATATATATATTTATATTCATAATTATGTGTACATACGTCGTGCCATCCGTCATCAGGTGAGATACTACCCGGTTGTCTAAGCCGAAGTAGGGAGTTGTCTTAGAGGAGTCCACCCCTAGCCTTTGGCTAAATAGCTTATCCACAACGCAGCGGAACCAATTCAAGAAATCACGCCCATCGGGAACCAATGACCGGTCTCGTGGTTCATACGTCTTTCGTTTGGTCAGGTACCAAACAAGGGTCCAATCGTCCCCAAAATTCAGCAACAACCTGCTGGAGTGCAATGCTCCACCGGAGGGAAGCGAGAGATCGTGAGCTTATTTAATGGCGTTTTACATCCGCCACGTCGTAGTGTTGTTAAACGGACATTTGTGGCTTGTTACAGAGGGAAGGCTTGCCAAGCGTATTGTGATTAAGACCACAGAAACGCGAAGGACACAGCTGTAATGTGTACACACAAACAAAGCACTGGTCACTTGAGAACATGGACATTTATTCACACATGAGTCACGTGCATGACCAGACAGACCATGGATCGTGCCAACCAATCACAATAGTCCTCCGCCGCTAAATTACGAGTCTCCAGCTTGATAGTGTTCTACGCTGCGCTTCTCACGAAGTGATCGCCATTGCTGCTCAGCGTGGTCTTCATTTGACAATGCTGCTGGCGCTATCCTCAGCGGTGCAGGCGATGAGCAATTTGCTTGTTCCTCTGCAGGACTCCCAGGCTGTCGTCGCACGGTCCAAGTGACGTTGAGGTATTCGCCCATCTTCCAATACTGCTTTCACTGCACTACCTCTTGTCGATCGCGTAATCCCTCCGATCCAAGTTCTATCCGTTGGCCTCAGTTTAACATACACTCTGTCGCCTGCCTCAGCCACACGATCCTCCGTTTTCATGTCGTAGTGTTGCTTCATCACAGACTGGCGTTTACCGACCGTTCAATGCAGATTGGGTTTAACTAGATCCAACCGAGTGCGCAGACGTCCTACCAGAAGTTCACACAATGGGTGATCCTTGGTGGTGTGTGGCGTAATGCGATATTGTAATAGGAATTTGTGCAGGCGGGTTTATAAAGTTCCGGACTGCTTTTTTTGCCACACCCTGTTTGATTGTCGCAGCCGCTCTCTCTGCCAGACCATTGGACGAAGAGTGATATGGTGCCGAGAGAACATGATCGATTCCATTTTGACGTAGGAATTGTGCGACCTCCTTGCCGGTAAATGTCGGGCCATTATTTGAAACAACCATAAATGATACCACATGTGTAGCGAATATATTCCTTAAGATGTACAGAGTGGTGGACCCAGTCATGGATGTGGTTGCCCGAGCTTCGATCCATTTGGAATGTGCGTCCATTGTACCCAGAACCATGAAGCCGTCAATCCGTCCACAGAATTCAATGTGTATTCTGTCCCACGAGCGCGATGGCCATTGCTATGGAGACGTTGGCACAGGTTGTGGGGGTGATTTATTTTCTTGACAGGCAGTATATAATTGTACGAGTTGTTCTATCTCCAGATCGACCTCCGGGCACCAGGTGTAGTTCGGTGCTAGTGTCTTCATCTTTAAATTTCCTTGGTGACCCATATGAAGTTCCCGTAGGATTGTTTGACCATACCGTTTGGAGACGATGATTCGAGAGTCCCAAAGTATGCAACCGTCCTCGAGGCTTAATTCATCTCTTCGAGTGAAATGTTCTTAGACTTTCATCTACCCGGTCCGGCCAACCAGTTAGGATATAAGCATGCACCTTCGACAGTTCCGCTTCACTCCTTGTTTCCGATTTTATTTCCGTTGCTGTCACCGGCGAATCTTCCAACCACTATATGACTTGTACCAATTCTCCCAAAGCTGGCGTGTGGCTCGGAACCTCCCGGAAAGGAAGTCGGCTGAGAGCATAGACACGATAATTCTCCTTCCCGGGAAGATATTTTAGTTGATACTGCCATGCATCGAGTATTAGAGCCCAGCGAAGCATCCTGGGCGATGCCATTTGGGGTATTGCTTTTGATTCACCCAGTATTCCCAGTAATGGCTTGCAGTCTGTGTGTATCTCGAATCTCTGCCCGAGTAGCAGCTGTTGGTGAAACCGCACAACCCCAAAAACCATCGCCTAAGCCTCCTTGTCAATTTGCGTGTAATTTTGTTCGTTCTGTGATAGGGTCCAAGCGTCTAATGCAACTGGTTTCTTTACTCCGTTCGCGTCAGGTTGTAACAGGGCGGCTCCGACTCCGTACGGTGATGCATCACATGTCAGCGTCATGTAGTTTCGGCGTCAAAGTGGGCCAAAACCATTGGACTTGCCAATGCACTTTTGGCTTAAGGAAAAGCCAATTCCTCCGTCTCAGACCACACCCACTGAGTGCGCTTGCATAACAAACGATGTAACGGGTGTAACACTGTGACTGGTTGCCGAACGAACATTGTGTAGTGTTTGTACATTCCCAATAACGACCTCAATTCGTGTTGATTTCCTGGTTGCGGTGCCTCAAGCGTTGGCCGGATGTTCTCCTCAATCGCCTTCAGCCCCTCAACTGTTATACGGAAATTCAAATAATCAAGGTGGGGAACAAGGAATACGCATTTCTCACGTCTCAGCCTCAAACCTTTCTCCTTCAGGCGGTCCAAAACAACTCGCAGGGTTTGTAGATGTTCGTCAGTTGTCGTCCCCATAACCAATATGTTGTCTAGGTACACGAAAGTTTTAGACAACCCTGTCATAATGTTCTCTATTGTTCGCTGGAAAATGGCCGGAGCCGAATGTATGCCAACTGGTAGTCTGTTGTACCTAGATATATTGTATATTTATTCACAGTCTGTTAGCAGACATTGTGCCATCAGAACCATGGCAGAAGAAAAAAGGTAAAGATTATAGGAACATGAATTGCAATAAAAAATGGGAAAAGATTTTTTGGTTTTGCACACGCCATTTTGAATTTTTGTTTTTGTTTTGTGAGTATTATTTTTGTGCATTAAAGGGAGATATAATGGCAGAGCAACATTGACCCCACTGAGTTTTGTTGCGGGACATGATGTCCAAAGTTTCCAACTACTGCGATTCAGCATCTCATTGTCCCCAACTGGTCCGACTGACGCCAAACTTGAGGTTGCCTACTTCATGCTCGTTTTTCACGTCATTGGCTGTCTGCCGCGGCACTTTTTTCAATCACTTCATGGGAGGGCAAATAGCACTCGACGTGGAAGGCGATGGGCTGGCATGCGCAGAACATGTCCGAGCCAGCGCATGCGATGTCGGAGAATAACGTCTTGAAGACTGGCACTATTCGCTCCAAGCACGCGGTATCTCACCTCTGCGTTGCTTACGTGGTGTTGCCACCACACCCTAGCAATCCTTCGTAAACAGCGATTGTCGAAGACTGACAGCCGCTTCGTGTCTTCCGAGCGAATAGGCTAAGTTTTAGAGCCGTACAAGGGTACTGCAGGAACAGAAACATTGTACACCCTGCCTTTGAGCTTAAGACTGACATCACGATGACGCCACAGGTATTTCAGTTTGATGAGTGCAAAGCGGGCCTTTGCAATCCGTTGTGAGACTTCATCTCCAACACCGCCACCCGCCACAACGCAACTCCCTAGATAAGTAAATCAAGGGACTTGCTCCAGAACATGTTCAGCAATGGTGAGCGTGAGTTCAGGCACGTGCCAGTCCTGGAGCAGGGTTGTACAATTTCCTGGAGGGAAGCATAAGCCGTACTTAGACACCTCCATCACTAAGCGTTCCAAGGCACTCTGGATGGTTTGTAGGGCGTACCCTAAGAAAGCGTTATCATCGGCATAGTCCAAGTCCGTGACTCTGTCTGCAGGGAGGAGCTTAACACTGCAGTCCTGGACTTCCGGTGATCTTTGGAGAACATCTTCGATAGCGAAATAGAAGAGGAAAGGTGAAATAGAACAACCTTGGCGAACACCGCTGGTCACAGCTACTGAAGAAGAGTGCGTGCCGTAAGCTCTGATTTTGCCCGACGTGTGAATGTAAAGTTTTTCTGAATGGTTACAAACTTGTCGGACACACCTTACTTCAGTAAACAGTTCCACAACGCAGATCTATCTACTGAATTAAATGCCGCTCGGATGTCCAAAAACACTACGATTGTTGGCCGCCGGTGGATGTGACGAAGTTCGAGAAGTTGGCGAAGCGTGAAGATTTGGTCGGTGCAGCCGCGGTCTGGACGAAATCCGGCTTGTTCTTTTCGGGAAAACTCCTCTCTAATCGTCGAAAGTCTGCAGAGTAGGACCGACATGAAAATTTTGGATGCGATAGAGATTACAGAGATTCCACCGTAGTTGCAGCAATCGTCGAGGGAGCCCTTCTTTTGCACCGGAACAATGATCGTTTCTCCCCATGAGTTTGGGAACTTCCCCTGAGTCAAAACTTTCGTGAACAGCGATAGGATTTCGCTAACAAGTACACTCCCGCCATCTTTGAATAGAGCCGGTGGTAGGCTGTCGGGATCAGGAGCCTTGTGGGGTTTCAAATATTGGATTGCATTTCGCATCTCCGCTTCATGGGGTGGGGCTGTG